CTATTCTTGCATACAGTATGATTCACATGGGTGCTAACAATTGCTGAGGCACCCACGGAATCAGTGCCATATACAATTAATTGATATAGCATTTGTAGCATTATTAAAGCTAATGCACATGTCAATATCTGCCACATTGTTCTTTCTCTGCGTTATTTGGCCTACCTGCCTGCTATATGACACAAGCACTGTGTGCGTGTAAACTATCAGTCTCTAAATAGGCTATAAATGGGTAAATTGTGTATTTTCTGCTAACCTCACAAAACACTATAATATCTCTAACAATAGTACCTGTAAATATCAAGAATAAAATCTAGACTGGAACTCACAATCAAATAACTAAGAATCAGGTGCCAAAATGATCACTGATACATGGCACTCTTCTGGAGGCAGCAAAAATCCGATTGGGTGAAGGTAACCTCAACAGTCAGTCTCAGTTTTATCTGCTGAAAAATGTAAATTGATAATGCAAAGACTTAAACTCCTGATATTAACAAAAAAATTCCTTGAGCAAAACTTTTTCATAATTTCAAACAACTTTTGTTGAGTCGCAAACTTTGTAGAAATTGAGTGGGATGTCAATTTGACAGGTTACAATGCTCAATAATAACCTCCACAGAGTGTTTTTTTTTTCATCTTTATTTATCCAGGGAACTACTGTACTCTTATTCACCAACACGCTGACACACATTCATTGTTAATAGTTAACTTCAGACACAAAAAAAATGCCCAATGGGGGTGGAGGGGTTGCCAAGTACAATAAAAAGTCTAGTTAAGTAAGTAGCCGCACCAGAACAGATAGGGATTACATGCCTTGCTCAAGGGCACCTGAATAGTTGAAGAGATATTCTTTGTTAGTGCTAAGTATGTACAGGCAATCTTTTTTATGATTTCAAAATTCTCAAGCTTTATTAAAATGTTTTTTTTATGATTTATTGGCTGTTTGAAATGACTGTTCATTGTATTAGCTTAAAATACATGTACTTTGCTGATTCTTTACGGAGTGTTATGCATGCTTGTGATACCAAATACACAGGTACAATGTATATCATTTATTTGATGGTTTAACATGATAATCTATTGAAAAAGGAAGAGAAACATACAGAGATATATAGTATAAATCTAAGCCTAAATACATTTTGTGGCAGCACAGAACATTTCACATTCCATTATGGGACCAAGGCCATACAACACCTGAAGTCTTTGATGACTTCTTTTTTTGTTACTTTTTTCTTTTTAATGTAGGCTCACATGGCATAATGTCATCTCTAAAATGGCAGCTCTCATATGTGAGTTTGCAAAATATATTTTTTTTTTCCTTTTTTTATCTTCCCATGTTACGAATTGTAGTTGCATGCATGATGAACAAGTATCTGGAGTTTGTAACAGCTACTGTCTCTTTCACCTTTCAACTGCACTAATGAGTTTTGGTAATTTAAGAAATGACTCGTACAATGACCAACTGCAAAAAATCTCACCACATGACTCGAAAATAATCATTTAAATCAAAGTAAACTACTAAGTCATGAAGATTTTTTGTCTTGTACTGTAAAATGGTTATTTTCAAGTTTCAGTGTTCAAGAAATCTGTCTTATTATATCTTATTTACACAACACTGAAGCTTTATCAACCGTTTCAGAATTTCATAGGTACAAATTTCCTCCAAACTACGCAAAGCAGCTTGAAACATCTTTGGACAAACTGGTTCCAACATTGCTGTACCTTGAATGCATGAGATCACAAAACATTGATTTGTACCCAAGACCGAAGTCAAGACATCCTCTTGTACTGTGTGTTCAGACAGAATGGCAAGTGACTTTAAGTGGTTGTGCAATTGCATATAGAGTCAATGGAGAGATGCGACTTAACACAGACATATCTGCAGGAGTTGAAAACACAACTTCCAAAAAAATTAAGTGAATCCAGTGGCTTTGTGAATTAACTTCATAAACGCACAGAGGCTGGAGGGAAGTACGGATGAACAAACAAACTGGAGTTTCTGGTGTTCAGTGACGCTCATTCCCATATGGCAGTGTGGGTCAGTGCGTTGCTAGCGAACTTACTGCTGGCATGTAGTTGGTATATTGGCTTTTTCGGGGCAAACACAAGCCGTCAAGTTTGCTCAAATAACGCAAGGTGAAAATTTGCTTTGCTTTCTTTCTGAACACACCTTCAGCAAGATGTTTTGGCTTATTATATACAGATGTTATTTCATCTACAACTAGAGCTTTCCTCTTACATTGAATCCCAACCTGTTCTCATCCCAGGGCGTCACATATGGATGCTTTGTCAAGACCCCTTGGTGTCTCTTTTTAAAGCCCTAGTTACCCTTTAGCGTGAAAAAAGCATGTGGTTACGGTTGTGAAACGTCACAGCTTGTTTAGGTTTAGGCACCCAAAACTACTTGGTTGGGTTTAGGAAAAAGTTATGATTTGGAAAAGATCATGGTTTGGCCTGAATAATAACTACGCTACTCACATGACGTGAATTACACTACGTAAGTAACATCACTAAAAGAAATCAATGTTGACTTTTTGTTTCAAGCGGGAAACGAACACCGGTTTCCTGGGTGGAAATCCAGTTTTGGTCCACCCCAACTCCCTCCGTACTCTGACTTTTCTGTTATTTGTAGTACTTCTAGCATTGAACAATGGCACTAAATGGCTTCCCCCAGTGCATTGAACTTTGGGGTAAAAGCCATACCAGACGCAAAAGACGCGACAAAGCATAGCTATTTGACGTTCTGGGAATGAGAACAGGATGTGGATCCAGGTCATATGTGCACTGTGCCCCCAGTCTACACAGTAGAAAACAGGACAAGAAACCAGCAAGAGACTTTGGGTCCTTGAATGTGGAATCAGCTAGAGCCCTAATTAATCAGGGTTGAGGACAATCCCGTTTCCAGAGAGAAAATGGCATTTGTGCAGCAACAATCCAAGTACAATACATTCAGTTCTTAGTCATATATAAACTGATCAGACTGTACAAATAAACTTTTTTATGCTTCAAAGTGACATTGTTCCCAACTCTTGGACAGACCGAGCTTCTCAATCACAATAGAACTCAATGTTATTAAGTAGCATTTTTTTTTCTACATGTATTCTTATACATGCACAACCAGCGTATGTATATCACATATCTATGACTGAACAAGAATGCTTCAAAGTTACATAATTGCCTGTGAGTTGTAACTGGTGGACTGCTCTGCAACCTTAGGTGAAATGGCACACAGTTTATCAAAAGAGTTGGACAGGAGAGCTATTTTTATCCACAAAACTATTATACGTTGACATTTGTCCATAATCAAGCAAGCAGCACAGAAAATAAATGGTCTACCCACGCCCCTCCTCTCTCAAGCTCTCCTTATCCATTCCCCATCTTTCTCAAACGCATGCACATGCACACACTCTTAAAACACCATCCCTTCCCCCTCATTCTTCGACACTTGCAACGTCAGAACGGGCGTTACATTCTGATAGAGAAATGATGACCATGGCTCATTATCCTCTCCCTGAAGAATGGATCCGATACATTCAGCGCTAGTATGTGCTTATAGGTCGACAGACCGATTATTGTAGTCCGTCTGCGGAATTAATGAAATCCATTTGCATCATCTGCTGCTGTATGGCGGGGCATACAGTAACTCTAAAATGCAGAGTGAACATACATACAGTGTGGAACTTCAACAGGATCGGATGTTTGAGAAGATGCATTCAGTGTGCCCCACGCTCAAAAACTAAACTGATCCTTGAAACTGACCCGTTGGTTAATTTGTTTAATCCTTGTCCTTTTTTCTTTTTTTTTTGCACGAAATAGCCTGACAGTTAATAGCCAGTATGACAATCACAAAATTCTCAACAATTGATCATTTTCATTTTGGGCTGTACACACAGTATATATATATATATATATATATATATATATATACACACACACACACACACACACACATATGTATATGTACATACTTATGTACAAAAAATGTATTTCATACCTCGGCTCTATCACCACAACAGAGTTAGTGTGAGCGAAAAAATAAAATAATAATAATTCAACAAGATGGGTTAGGAAATCAAATGAATACCTGAAGACACAGAGTACAAAAATATCATAATATTTCATGGGTTGAGTAACCATGTTGCCCAAAAGGCCCTTGGCAGTTGTTTTAAATTAAAGTAAGACAGTTTTTAGAAGAAGTTTGATAAATTTGAGTGCAATTCTGTCATGCTATCACTTGAAGCGATGTTGCCAGAAGGTAGAATAGGTAGGTAAAATGGCAGTTTCATTCATATTTGTGCTTTCCCCCCACCTCCACTTATCAAATGACCACAAAGGATATTTCAGTGACACTTTTCTTTGTCAAGAAAAAGATGCTAAATAGCAAAAAACTCTGAACCTGAGTCACAATCATCCTGAACAGAGGAGAGAATCCTCAACTTTAAATTATTGTTTGGGTAAAGGTTTACCAGATCAATGCCATGATATAGTTAATAGCAAGTATACTGTAAATTATCAACACTATAAACAAACACATAATCAGAGTATTTTCTTCTGTAAAGTTGTGAAATAACCCAAGGCAAAAAAGGAGTCATTATTTTTCTACTATGGCTGATCATTACATGCATTAATAGTGCATAGGGTACCACTCAAACATACATTATTTTGTTTAATGGACTTTTAGGAATTGCCTGCATTTATCTGACCACCTGTGTAGTATAAAGTTTTCTTAATTATTTTGTTAATTAGAAAAAATCTTGCGTTAACTGCTATTGTGTTTGTTTTTTTGCAAATACTGTATTAGTTATTCAATTGCTGGCTTCGTATCTCTCTATTTACACATTACTGAGAGGGCAAATGTTGGGAAATGACTATCACAAGTCCCAATTACAGTACATACTTTAGAAAATAAAAAGAACTTGGTACTAAGGATTCAAAGACTGCAAATATAAAAACAATTTTGACGAGAACTTGGTCCAAAACTCAGTAGTCTTTTCTCAGTCTGTTTTTTTTTTTTTTTTTGTCTTGTAGTGTTGCAGTCTTTAACTCGACATATTCCATCATGTATAAAAGCAACAGAAAAAAGGAAGAAAGAGAACAAAATGGGAAAAGAATCAAACAAACAACAACTAACATCTTAACAAAACAGTCCAATCAGACATAGTAGAGCCAGTAGATGAGGTTGAACAGTGAGAAAACGGAGGGAAAGATGATCCGTGACCAACGGTCGATGGCGTTCACATCCGTCAGGTCGGGGATTTTGATTTTGAGCTGCGAGGACCGCCTCCGCAGACGGCTGCGTTTTATCTGGGTGGACCGGTCCAGGGAGTGGCGGCTGGCGGAGCGAGGGCCGACCCCGCCGCTCTGTTTGCGGTACTGGATGTGCGTCGAGGCCGTGCTGTCCAACTGCACCATGGACTGAGAGTTCCTAATGTCCGCCACGCTGGTGGTGATCTCGCCTCCCGCCACTTCGTTATGGATCTCCAGGGTGGTTAGCAGGATGTTCCCGTGGCTTTGCGGTTCCGCCTGAATGCATAAAAAAATTTGAAAACTAATTACTAACATGTGCAGATAAATGGAACAGCTAGAGAGCACACTCCATGAGATTTTAAGGCACTCTCCCTTGGTGCACAGTGCATTCAAAAGATACATAACAACTGCAAACCGTTTGCAAAGAGGTGCAAAATGATTACAAAGTGACACAAAGAGACCCAAAGTGACTACAAAGAGATGCAAACAACAACAGACAGAAAATGACTACAAAGAGACTCAAACAACCACATCAGTGTTGTTGGTAGCCATTTTGTATCTCAGTCTGGGTGTCTTGCTCCTATTTAGGAGGGGTGGGGGTGTCAGGGGCCCATTGTCTCATACTCTGTCCATGAATGTCATGTCATGTTTTTGCCATGGCAACAAGTCGGCACTACAAATTGCAACTCTAACTAAAACTTCCCCTTTGTGGGTGTTCAATTTGAAATGTGAAATTGATGCCCTTTGTAATTACCTCAAAAAAATTCATACAATGCAATGAAAACTGTCGTCTCCGTGGAACATGAAGGGAGTGGAGTAGGGAGCAGTTTCAGGCACAGCTTGGGTTTCATGCTGTCATTGCGTCAATGGCATTTTACAATGGCAGCCATTCTTAGCATCCAGATGACCGTTCAAGATGGTCATCAGAGTTTCCACTGATACAAATAATCAAAGAAATGTCAGAGAAATACTTTTTTTTAAATTATGATTGATTAAAACTATCTGAAATGGAAGGGGCAGGGAGAAAGAGCAAAGAGAAGGTAATAGCAAACCAATCAAAATGTCTGCTGATTGGACTTGTGAACCTGTTGACCTTCCTGCTGAAGCACATGAAGAATGTGTTTTTCCGCAACTGAAGCAATACAAGTCCACATCATCACTTTCAACAATTTAATGAAATACTTAGAAACTCCATGCCTATGGTGTGTGCACCACAAAACAAATCAACAATAATGGGCGATGGCGATCATTCATGCAAATGTAGTAACTGTGGAAGTCCCGCATTTCAAGTTTCAGTGTTTGCATAGGTCAAAAGGTTCTTAACTAAGGTGTGTTCAGACAGAAACAAATCATTTTATTCTTATTTGTGCAAATTTGACAGCTGGATTGTTTGCACAGTCTTTGTGTCAGTGTTTAGGCACCCCAAAATGCCAATGTAGAGATAATAGCTGTAAGCTAGCTTGTAACCAACCGTGTGTGGTCACCGTTCAGTTCTGGTCTCAGAACTCACCAGAAACTCGAGTTCTTTCTGTTCTTTCTAGTCTCTCTCTCTCTTTTCCTCTCAGAATTGAAATAATCCATGGGTTAAGCTGAAACATTTTCTAAATTATGCTTTCTGTTCCGTCTAAACACAACTTTAGAAGGAAGATCCCCTAACTTAAGTAAGGTAAGTTTTAGACATGCTTTTTCAACCATGTCACTGAAATGCGTTTCATTTCAAAATACTACAATATATCCACATTTCTGGAGAAATGTCACTCACACATGATAAACTTGCCTAAAATTTAGCCGTTTTCAAAGTGGCTGGCTATGAAGTACTAATCAACAACGCATACATTTTCATACTTTCTTACACTTTTCAAACTAAAATAATCCTGACTGCACCACTAATGCAGCGAATATGCAAGATGGGGGACCTCAGCAGTGACTACACACTGAATGTCACACTGCTTCACTGCACCCTGACATGCGCAATGTCACTTGCTGCGAGAAATGTGACTTTCCATGATGATTCCAATGAGTAAAGATACACAGACGGCATGCATTCAGGATGACCTCTGAAAGAGAAACGCGTTCATATCTGAAACACCAATTTTACAATGTAAGATCGAGCATGAGCATCGTTTCGATGTAGAAAAGACTGCAATGAAAAAGTCGAAGTGTCATGAAGATGTCTGTTGTCACTTGATTCATTCCATGGATGTGGAGATATTTTGCATTAAGGCAAAAGAAAATAAATAAAAACATCCATGTCAGCTGATGGCAATGGCAGAGTTGACTCAAGGATATTGAAGAGTCTCACTGAACAAACAACTCACCGAGCGTGAGTGGCGAAGACCTTTAACCTGATTGGACCGTTTTAGGGATGCGGTCCTACTACCTGCCTCCTGAGAAGATGAAAATATTCAGCCACATGTGGGGAACAAATACCTGAAAATTGTTTGTTTTTTTAAATTCATATTTGGGCTACTAAAGCCTCCACCGGGGATACAGATGCCTGTGAATAATGTGACAATGTAATACAGTTCGATTATGCAGAATATTTTCCTTTTGCTGCTTTTTTGTCAAAAGCTGACAAAAAAGTTTTAGAATTACTGCAGTGTCGAGGCTGTTTTCATGTTGAAAAATTTGAGACTGTCCACTCAGACTGTCTTTTCTACATACTGTCCTGCAGCATTTTCTGTGGAAATAAGCAAATATTCACACCAGATTACGGTATAGCACACCTATCTGGTCACACAGACCACTGACTTCTACCAGTTGGGTAAAAAAGGAACAACAACTGTATGTATGCATGTATACAGAATGTATGTGTAGGTTCACCTTGATCCTACACGTACTGCGCAATTCATTTATTGATGTACTTTTTAATTCAATCTTCAACCCATTTAACCACTGATCATTTCCGTCAGTCCAGATGTGATGTCAAAAACGTCCAGTCAACAATGCCCAACTCACCCTCGCAGCGTCGTACTTGGCTGCCTTCTCATTGTTGGCCTTCTCTGCCTTCTCCGCTAGCTTCTTTTGCATTTGAGGGCCCCTTCCAAAGAAGATGTAATTGACAAAGGCGTACTCTAGCAGGGCCAGGAAGACCATGACGAAGCAGCCCATCAGGTACATGTCGATGGCCTTGACGTAGGGGATCTTGGGTAGCGTCTCTCTCAGGTGGGTGTTGATAGTGGTCATTGTCAGCACCGTGGTGATCCCTTTGATAAGGAAAAATTATGTTTAGCCTTATAAGCGTCATTACTACCATAGAGCATAAAATAACCACAGGAGCTGAAGCCGTCATGAGTCAAAAGGACTTTCTTTTATGAGGGTTTAACGAGGATTACAATGAAAATATGTACACTATTATTAGGCATATAAAGCATCCAAATTAGTCATTTCAAAACATATTTAGAAGTCAGGAAGTGCTCAGTCTATAAAATACGTAACATCAATCAACAGGAAATTAATCAATTAATATAGGGTTAAGTAATTAGTTTAAAGCTGCACTAATAATCAATAACACTCCCCTGGAGAATTATCACCTGACTCTGCAATTCCCATCAGCTCGACAAAGCGTTTTAGTGTTTTTTAAGAGGTGGTATTATGTTCATTTTCAGGTTCAAAATCCTATTTAGGGGTTGTACCAGAACAGGTTTACATGGTTTAATTTTCAAAAAACACCATATTTTTTGTCATACTGCACTTATCTCTAAATGATCTTTGTTGGGAGTTGCACATGCACAGTTCCTAGTTAAGGACTACTAGCCAATCAGAAGCAGAGAAAGGCGGGTCAGCGAAAAGACGGTAAACAGCTTTGATTCAGATGTAGGCTACATGTCGCCGATCAGGTTGGCAATTTGGACTGGAGCAAGAGTTTCCGAGTGGTGAGTTATTAATCTGTAACAAAAGTATCTTTCATCCATAAAGTTTTAACTGAGCTCCGTCTCTACATCACAGTAACAACTTCATGTCCATTGACCGCTTGGAGGGTAGAAGACCACCCAGAAACTGTTTTGCACCTCTTTTGGTATTGCTCACACACCAGAACATTTTGGCAAAACCTCAGCAGATTCATCATTGACCATCTTTATAAAGACTTAGCCTTATTGTGGAAGAATGTTGTATTTTGCTTTTATAGAAGTCAAAGTAAAGAAAAAATTTTCTTCATTAAAAATGTATTAATTCTTTTGGCAAGATTTCACATTCATAAATGTAAATTCAGCGCAAAAAAAACCAAACTGATTTTGTACTTTTATCCATGAAGTTGTACATTAAATTAATCTGATTTCTGGCTCCAACAACAAAAAGGCAGTTAAAGACTGCCTGGAGGGTAGCTAGTGTTTGGAAGTGAGAGAAGAGATACGCTGCAGAGTGTTTTTCTACCGGTGTTTTTCAGGGCGTGTTGGACTAGTCGCTCAGCAAGCATTATGACACGTATTTTCATTGTGACATCACAAGAAAGGGAAGTAAAGGCTGGAATACAAATGAGCTGTTTTCAGGCAGTTCAGAGCAGTGTTTTCTGTTGAAGATGAGAACTCCCTTTGGGGTGGACTTTGGGCTTTTTCACTTTGCAAACCTAGCACATGCACAAAAAAGATATATAACTCAATAAAGGAGCCAAAAACCATAATACCACCTCTTTAAGGACATTCTTTTGGTTTTATGGCCCACAACTCCACGGTTTTGATTCATCCTCCAGCTGTTTTCATCAAACAGTATTGCGACACTCCTTAACTAGAACCAAATGGATGGCAGCAAGACTAAGTTAGCGACTAGCTGGTGAACAAGGTGCAGCGCTCTTAAGAGTTGGAGACTGGAGCGAGGAGGGGAGTCAATATTAGACAAAAAGTCGGGTGGACTTCTTTAAACATGACTCCAAATGAATGTTAACATTGCTCTGTGTCAATCTGAATCCGAAAGCTTTATTGTCATTGAATGTAATTCAACAATATTCAAGTGCAACTCCCCTCAATGTACAGTCGAATGTACAATGGAAATAAACAAAACTGTTGTAATTTTGAATTCATGTAGATCCACATCACTCACAGTAAAAAGTTGTGTTTGTGAAAATAGGTTTTCTGGGCTTTTAAAGTTAGGATTAGAGCTGCAGCTGTCAATTCTCCCATTTTTCCAGGATTCTCCCATATTTGACCATTCTCTCCCGCTGTCACCCCCCACCCTCACCCCCTCCCTCTGGTATAGCAGGTGCCTGTATGTAGAACATTAGCTGTAACATCTAGTGACAGGAAGGAAGTCATTTACTCAAACGGTACCTGCCAATTAAACAAGAAGAAGAGGAAGGAGAGAGTCTAAGAATAAGAACAGTAGGATTCAAGGATGGACAAATGTTGAAGGAAAGGAGTACCTCCCAAAAAGGCAAAAATTCTGTGCAAGTATCTCACCAAATGGATGGAGGTTACCCGTACTCAATGATGAGCAACATTGTAATCACCTGAAATCGCCTAAGAATTTCCCTTATTTTCAAATCCCAATGTTGACAGCTATGGCAACGATTAGTCGATTTATTGATTCGTTGTCAACTATTACATTAATCTAACATCTGTTTTGATAATCAAATAATCCCTCTGAGTCTATTTTGAAAGAAAAAAACGTGCAAATTCTCTGATTCCAGCTTCACCCTGGGCTTTGGGAAACACTGATGGACATTTTTCACAATTTTCTGGCCTAACAACTAATCGGGGAAAAAAATTTATCTTTTAGAGATTTATTGATAAGGAAAATAATCGTTAGTTGATGCCTTAGTTAGGATGAGGATCTGCACCAGTCGTGATGGCATTACAACTGTGATAAATATTAGTATGATATACTTACATTGTGTTACATATCCTATCTAACTCTTGCATCCTCTAACCAACTGAGGCTTTTAAACAAACGTACAGCAAATTCTAACAGCATCATTTAAAAGATAAAATGTGAATCTAACATTTTTCTCCAAGGCTTCCTCATTACCAATCTATCTGGGATGGTAAATGTTATGCTTAATTAGTCTAGACCTGTTAGAGCATGAGCCTGTCTTAAAGGAGCACCCAACCATTCTAAGTAGGTGCTGCTATCTCCTCACTAACATGAAGGTCACGCTGGAGAAAACTCCAACTGCCTTTCGTGTTACTATAGAAACAAGGATATTTTTATAGAAAACATGTTTATTCTGTGGCGATTTCCACCGCTACTTAGAAGCAGGATGGACCGAGTGGGGAAAAATATTATGATGCTCTTGCCTTGTTGAAGAGACAGTGAGGGGAGAAAAAAAAGCTATTTTGTCTGAGCAACTTCCTGATCATTTTCATGTGCGATCTTATTTCACTTGCATGAACATGCGCATACTGGTAGTCGAGCGCACAACCTGTGCTTCATTGAAATTCAAAGGTCTACCTTGAAACCTTCAACTTCCCCCTTGGTCATCAAGCAGAAATAACTCATTAGAATAGTGCTACATGTATCTTGCCCCAAGCTTTTAGTAACCTTAACCACGAAGGGTAGCAAGTGGGCTGGTTATTTACCATCTCACAGTAAAGGCACATTTGCACTTTGTGTATTTCAGCACAATGGAAAGAGACAGACACGGATTGAGACTCTTGTAAGATTATAAACAAATGGATGAGTGGGAAGTTAATTGGCTCGGAGGTTTGATACATCTCAATGATGGGCTTCGGAGCTGAAAAACACAGAAAAGTGCTGCAAAAACAGAAAACGCAATCAAAATTGAGTTACAGTGTTTTGTAACTTTTTTTCCATAGTCCTCGGTGTGGCAAGCAGCATGTCTGTATTCAGTCATGTGTTTTTGCAGTGTGCTTCTGTATTCAGTTGTGTTTTGCAGCTATCCTATCATGTAAGCCGCCAAACATGTCACGCAAGTTGCAGCAAATAAACATAACTCTCAATCGTAATCATGCAAACTCTGACCTGCAAGGCAATAACGCTATATCTTATCTAATTAGAGATATATGGCAGATATATCTTTACTACTTTATCCACCTGTAATAAATGGAGCCTATCAGTAGTATAATGCACACGAACAAGGCTTTTGGAGTGTGTGTTTGTGTGTGTGTGTGTGTGTGTGTGTCATAAACTACAGTGAAGAGACAAGGAACAGTCAGGGGGTTGGGAGGAGGGAGCAGAATAGCTAAGGTCAATCTAGCCCTTAGTGTGATTTATTGGCACATTACAAGGCTAACACCACTAGTGTGTGTGTGTGTGTGTGTGTGTGTGTATGCACGTGCGTGTGTATGTGTGTCATCAAAGACGCTGTGTGAAAAGCAGGTGTGAATGTAAGTGAGCTCGCCTGCACATGCTCCGTGTCTCTGCCCCTACTGGATGGTGCAATCTTTCTGTGTTTTTTTTTTTTTTTGCTTAACGACAGCCTTGTTCTTTATAGGTGTTCTCTCCACTGCGCCATTACTCTCTGTCCTTCACTTCCTCCCTCCATTCCGCCGCCTTTCCCTCCCCTTTAGCTCCCTCCCGGTGCTTGGACAATTTAATCAAGGGGCCACGCGCCCATGGCCCTCCCTTTCTTTTTCATCACGCTGTTACACTCTCCTGGGAGAAATATAGTTTTATAGGGTTTCTCTCACTCTCTGTCTCTTTCTATCTCTGTCAACCCCTCTCCCATTTTTCTCTGTTTCTTCCCCTTGTCACTCCCCTTGCCTCAATCTCTCCCCCTCTCCCTCTTCATTTATTCCTTATCCCGCCGCCCTCCCCCAGATCTCACCATCGTTTAGCCATGGTCTTCCTCTTTGCTGCCCTTTTCCTTTGTTACATGTCCCCGAGTCTCTTTTCCACCCTAACAGCTGGAACAAAGGCGCACCGCAATCAAGCCTCCTCTAATCACAAGCCAATAGGCCATTAGCAACACAGCTCAACATTTTAAAAAGGAAAAGGTATCATGTAGGATGCAACAAAGCGCTAGAAGCAGCAATTAATGTTAACCGCGAGAATAGAGGCATGGGTGGTAAATCAAAGCAGTGTAGAACACTTCACACGTCACTTGCCGACAGCGCAAATTGTCAGCTATCGAGTTAGCATGTGTTTCAAGAGAAAAAATGAGGTTGCCAAGATCTGGAAGAATATACAGTGAACTTAACTTGTGTGTCTACCATTACACTAAAAGTGTTTCCAGAACAATTACAGCTAATGCCCACACCTTCACTGTTCATATAATATGATTATGAATGAAGGGCAGGACTGTGGGAAAAGGGTTGCAACCAGATTAGGGTGCGAGCGGGTCATTTGTAACTTTGCAATCCTTTGGAATTGCTCAGGAAAATGAGATTCTCCTTCAAACAATTCAATTGTTTGCCTGCTGCCTCCTTGAATTGATTTCTCCCTGATCGTTACACTGCTCTTACTGGCAGGTTGGCGCACACACAAATGCCCACATACACACACACACGCACGCATCAAGATACCTGCTGAAAGCTTGTAATGATCCATCAGGATAGAAGTGAATGGACCTCCGGTTGCCTCTCTCAGCTGAGGAGACACACGCCGGATATTGCAGCTAGCAGGATTTAACACATACACATTTCCTCACACACACACAAACCTGAAGTAGACATACACTCACAGGCGTACAGTAATGACCGGATATTGCATACATGCTTTAACGAAAGAAAGCCAGTTCAAGTAGGCAATCAAACAGATCTGTGCACACACATGCACAAACACACACTCTTCAGATATCCATTCCAGTCTCTAACCAGCTGTATAACAGGTAATGGATCGAAGCGTGTTTTCCAAAAAGCATCATGACGCGCTAAGGTCATCACTGTTCCATTATCTATCCATATAAAGATGATCTAAAAACCAAAGCAGCAATCAATTGGCACTCTTAGGGCGGCCCCGGGGTAAAGATTTGCTGCTCGGCCCATATTGGCGACAGTCTGAACCATGTATCATGTCCATACAGCAGACTATTCATTAAATACCCACATTCAAATGAACACAAACCAGCGGAAACACTTTGAATCTGGGGCTTCCAGGGCCCCTTTTGCTTTGATGGTCAAACTCTCAAAGAAATCAGGGCATTAGAGCTGCAACGATTAGTTGATTAATCGATTAGTCGATCGAAAAATGAATGAATTGTATAAAAATGTCAAACATTTCTAGTTAGTTTCATCTTCTTTAATGTGAGGATTTGCTGCTATTCTTTGTCATTTATAACACTAAATGAAGAGTCTTTGGGTTTTGGACTGTTGGTTGGACAAAAGAAGCAATTTGAAGACGTCACTAGACATTTTATAGAATGATTAATCCAGAAAATAATCGGCAGATTATTTGATAATGAAAATAATTGTTTGTTGCAGCCCTACTGGGCATGTGAGATGACCAGCTTAGTTTTTTTGTCCACACACAGAGGGTATAATAAAAGAAATAAAAATTAAATTTTAAAAAAATCTATTTGATGGAATTTGGCGTAGCTCATTATGTAAGTTCCTATACTTCTACAGCATCTTCAGCAATGACGACATATTGAGAAATATTACTGAAAACAAAGCTCACTTCGGGTGCAGAAACACAAACATGTTGCTCCTAAAACGCCTGTGAGTGGAGCGCAGCACTGAAAACAACTAGATACGTAACTTCTGAAAATCCTATATTTCACCACTTGATAAATCCCACACCCCCTTATTAGGAAACTGCTGTTGAGGGGAGGCGTTTAGTGAACAATCAATTGCCAGTTTATTGTTGACTGCCGAAGACTATTGTCCGAATTGTATTTTTAGCTCTTGTCTTGACAACCTCCATATTATATTTATATTACATTTTCCCTGCCTGACTCCTCATATGTCATCTTGACAAAACTGTGCAGCAGAGTCCTGTGAGGAATCAGTGATTACAAACCAGCGACCTGCTGCTTCTCATCACTGCCACTTGTTTACAGCACACAGGAGCCCCACAGTGAGTGGGCCCTTTGCACCCACACAAGCACTCTTCAATAAGAAGTGAAATTATGATCATTAGAGAGGTGATGTTTTTATAGCTCCTGGAGGCCTCTCAGTGACCACAACAGCTGCAGACACAAGGTCTGACCTACTTTGGTCCGAGTCAAGGTTGTGTATTCATGTTTGCCCTACGGAAAGGCACAGCGGACAAAAACATGTTTACATACTGGTCGCAATATTACCTAATACCCCCCCACTACCGCAGACATAACAGAAATGTTCTTCAAATCTATTTCCATTTGGCCCTCAAATTTCCAAGCTGTTCCCTAAAGCTTCCACTAATACCACGACAGTATGAGTTTGGTCTCTCACCGTGTTCGTCAATTTTGAGAATCCATCGGGGAGGTAGTGGCTCACTTTGGTCCCTGGTCTCATCAGAGAAAGCCAAATATATGCCCCTTAAGAGCCACTGCTTCTTACCTAGAGCCACTCTGGCTGCTGACGCATCATAGTTTATCCAGAAGGAGACCCAGGAGAGGATGGTAATCAGGATCGATGGCATGTACGTCTGCAGGATGAAGTAGCCAATGTTCCTCTTCAGCTTAAAGCTCAGAGACAGTCGAGGGTAGGCACCTAAGGGAAGAGGAGACAGAGATAGAAGCAGTGCATTTAAGTCTTTTAGTTTAGAATTTTTTTTTTTTTCATGGTCAGATACCCATTAAAGCAAAGTTCCTGATTGTGTTATTTTATTTTATTTTTTTCAAAATTCCTTATGGTATGGTACATAAAAATAAATACAAAGTTAATTTAAAACATTAAAATGTTGACCATAAAAACGGGAGCACACAGAGACACCTTGTGTTTTTGTTTCAGTTGCCATGGCAACCCCGACAGCATTGGTTAGAGTTATTGCCATGGTAACTAGTACCCCCTTCACTAGCACAAACACACACACACACACACACCAGCTCACACACACACAGAACCGTAGCCCTGTTACGTGATGATGTGACAACATTCTGGATGGTGCTGAAAATCTGAACTTGAAACGTTTTGATTTATCAGTTCCCCACGTCTCATCCACCTGCATAATTCATATGACGCTTCTGAGGGATTCAGCATTGCCACAGGAATAATAGCTTTCTCGCTACTGCGAGGAGAGCACATCTGTCATTACTTTTCCATGACCTGGAATATAAACAGTACACGTGCGTGCGTGTGCATGACATTCTGATATAAGGGTGATGCATGATTTCTCATCAATCTCCCAGCGTATGCCTCTTTATGGATTGAATCTATGGCTCGTTGCTCCCACTATTCTTAGCTATTTTTCCATTTTTGTTTTATATTGGAGGAGTAGGGGGAGCCATTATACTTTAATTTTACAATCTGTGGGTTTCAGCCAAAGCTACTTGTGGCGAGCGTGGGTCGACTGCCCACTTGCATGCAGAGTTGAGTGGATAGTCACTCTGATTAAACACACAATCTCATTAAGATTCTGTGCCTACTGTATTGCAATAAAATCCCAACAGTTATTCCAAAGGGCAGGCCTGTTCATCAAATGTTATTATCTAGTATGATTACTGACTGATATAATTGACATTTAACCTGAGCAAATATGGGTTTAAATTGGAATTTTGTTAGTTATGTTATGTATTATGTCATGCACACACAGTTCCACTTGGACTTATAAGACACCAAAAATATTTTTGTAGTGGTCAAAAAAAATGTGTCAAGGGTTGCACTGAAATGTACTGTTGTACTTTGGACATTCATGGTGCCCAGAAGATGAAGTTGGTGATCCTCTCACTTTTCTCCAGGGCCACCAGCAGGTCACGGTTTTCCCTTATCCCATGACATTTCTCAACATCTACTTTATGCATTGGCACACAATTTTGTGCAGACATCCGCGGTTCCCAGATGATTCTTGTGACGCCATGAGTATGACTTTCGGACTGAAATCATTGTAATATTATACAATCCATTTTTAATAGATTAGCTCGATGGTTAAAGTTTTTTTTTAGGTGGCAAAAATCACTTAAAGGTTCAGTGTGTAAGTTTTAGTGGCATCTAGTGGTAAGGGTTGTGAATTCCGCTCACCCCCTCCCTGTGCAGTAGTGTATGAGAATCTACGGTGGCCGACACACTCTGCAGGCTCTTGTGCTAAATTATACGTGTGGGCCTCATTTTATCCATATTTCACTTTTCTTCTTAATTCTAATAAACCAGACGACTACTACTACTACTGCTAATACTACTACTTCTTCTTCTTGTACGTATTTCACGTAGTGACGAAACAACCTCTGTAGAGCACTTTGTCCGTTTGGGCTACTGTAGAAACATGGCAGCCCAACATGGCAACGTCCATGTAAGAGGACCTGCGGTGTATGTAGAGAGAAATGGCTCATTCTAAGGTAATAAAAACATAACGGTTCATTATGTAATGTCTTTATACACCGCTGTTTTGTATAGCCTATTGATTTCTGTCCATAGATCCTCCTAAATATTACACACCTGGGCTTTTAAACTGACCAAAGGTACAAATTAAGTGGTACCTGTTATGTTGTTTTGTACAGTTTCGTAAGTTTTTTTATCTCTTGAATCCTCCTTAACCCATGAGGAACAGTCTGGCAGTTGTGAACAAAGTCAACACACACTCAACATGCACTTGATTACTGTGTAAGTGTGAGAACAGACTGTCACAGGGCTTAAAATATCCCATTCACTTCTTTTGATGCATCCTTAATGGTAGCTCCTCCAGCCTAAATCGGAACAGAGTATCTTCGCACTAGCAGATGCGGAAGTGGTTTAAGAAAAGAGGAGGCTGAGGTTCAGTTTCGTGTGGGTGTAGAACTGTACTGGCTGTAACTGCGATACCAAACAACATGCGCGAGTGGGAGGAACACCATGTGTGAGGCCGAAGAGGAGAGGGAGGAAGAAGAGGAGACGGGATGCAGAGATGATTATCAAAGTTGAGTGGATGACAGTACAACAATAGAGTCACCCTCATGGCAGGGCTGTTGCAGTCAGCTTTTAGATTCCAAGGTATTTAGCTACAATTAGGGTTTCTTGTTTTAATTTCTAAAGATTTTACTACCTACAGTAGTAACCTAACTGAGGCTTATGTCTAAGGCAAAGTAGTAGGCCTATTAGCTAACTGTACTTTTTGGGGTTACAGGTTAAAAAGCCCTGTTCACGATAGCACATCCACCGATATTTCCCCACTATGTTCCCTGCCAAATTTATGTTCTGCATTAGCACTGGTTAGTCCTCTTCCTAAAAGCCTTATCTCTTGCAGCGTTAAAATTAAAACATACTGTTACAAAATATAAAATTACAGTATTAAATCTATTGTATAACCATATTTGTTCATGTAGTTTTGTTGATTTTGTCCCATCATAATCGAGATTTCAAAAATGCTTGCTGTATCACTGCCATCCTTATAAAACTGGGATTCCTTTAGAAACTAAAGTAGTCATCCTTGTATGCAGAGAGAAAAAGAGTGCTTGGGCATACTAATGAATTTCAGTGCAATATTAATTAAAAAAATTTAACTTTCAGATCTGTTTTCAAAAGCTGCTAACAAAGCATTTCATGTTTTCTAAAACCCACAAACTTGAAGGAACATTCAAGGGCTTTACTGGTAAATTACAGCAAAAACTTGAAATATAGATGTTATGGAATATGTTAAGCTGTTATTATTGCAGCAGTCTTGACGTAACAAAGAGGAAAGAGGATGAGGACAATAAAGGGTACGATAGCAATGTCACTGATGAATGCGCACCATGTGCAAACAACACAATGTCTCGTAACACAGCGACGCTGTCTGGTCACTTATGCATTTGCATATGTACATGCATACTGTTCACACAAACAGGCAGTGTTTGTATGTGTGCTTAGACGAGAATAATTGATGTTGTGGGCCTCATTCCACATAAATATATGATGTTCTGAATCCTGGGCTGTTTTTCTGGCAGAGAGCAGGGTAATTGGCATCCAACCACAACCCTTACAATTGAGAGAGTAAAAAGGTATAGAAGTGACAGGATACAGGATAGAAAGGAGGGATATAAAGTGAGAAAAAGAGGGACGGCATTAAAGGCTGGCTAGTGACACATGTAATGGAGGAAACCTGGTCATTAGCCAGTCTTGTGGGGAGCCTTTGATGTGCTTCACACATCCTGCCAAGAGCACAGGAGCAGACCACTGGTCACTAAACTTTAATAGTCAGCCACCCACAGGGGACATGCCGATTCACAAACATGTGCACTCTGGTGCGCTCACCTCGGCACATTCACATGGGATTCACACATGAAGGCAGAGACACGCATGTACTGTGCACAGCCAGTTATGACTGTAAACGCAATGCAGCACATGTGCAACACAGTGAGATAAAGACATACTGTACACACAGTTAAAATGAGGGTGACAGCAAAGGATTTGGTAGCTTGAGCAGTGACTTCGAGAGTGAGGCACTTGTGGGAAGACTGAGATGGGGGAAAAAAAATCTGTGGGGCCTCAACAGAAATATAACAAATACCCCAAACAGCAAACAAAAGAATGATTTACTGTTCATGTCCTTTTCAGTGTGGCTCCTCCTCATGAGCATAACGTCTGGGAAAAATGATGTTATTACTAAATGTCACACAGCATTTATTACCCTGCTACAGCTGTGGAGAAGCTGCTTCTTTGAATGCGTCTCCACTGACCAGATTATATGGCAGTTGATTAGGGAGCGTCAATAAAGTTCTGTATCTAGGCATAAATAAACACATAAAAATCTTATTAATTTAGGACCTTTGCGTACGACACATAAAAACTAAAGGTCACGGCATGTAGCAGAATACCCCTGCGAGCAATGAGTATTGTTGAATTATCCTTCTACACTTCTCCAAGTTGGAAACACAAATTACTTACATGAAATACAATACTGCAAATGTTTTCATGTACAGTAACTTGACAAACTAATTAATTGCCCTGAGGGATTTAAAGTGCTACGGAAAATGTCAATTGTGAACCAATAAACAACACTTGATTGGTGTGTTTCACAACACCATTTAATGACGACACCAACGGCAAAATATTTATAAGCCATGGGCACCTCTTTCTTCGGTTAGCATCCATGTTTCATTTGACCAGTAAATATTCATTAGGGGTTTGGAGGATCATTTAGGTTTCCTGGAGGCCACTGAAACTCAGTTACACTACTGTTAGCTTTGTTTACAAGCAGTTTATGACATTAGGTTTATTTACTTTACCATGAAATGTACCAGCTGAGCCTTGATACAAAGACTTCAGCAGGTCTTCAGTTACGTTTTATTAATGTCAGCATGAAAAACAAACTATCACCTCTCAGGGTCAAGGACCACCTGACACGGACACAATTTGCTCTGTAAACTGAAGCGTTTACAGCATGTTTTGCTTAAGTACCATTCCAACATCCTTGCATCACCCGCTGTTGCTTAAGGGATACTTCAAAGGCAGTGCATTTCCTCACTTCAACCCAATTAGAAGCACTGACAAACACAACTTTGGCTCTGAGGATTTAAGATCAACAGATCAAGCTTTGACACAGATTTGTTTGCTACAGGAATTGATTAAATAATCAGCTTGAAAATAGGCCAACGCTTGATATGAACAATATCATCTAAAATGTAACATCCACTTGTCAGCATGTTATGTATTATTCCCAAAGGAAATTCAGTTTGTGGAGGCCAAAGCCCATACACAACGCATTACATCACAGCATTTACCTGTGGAAAAGACTACGTTTCTGGACACCAACTTGTAATCGACAATGGAGAACTGAGGCAACTCAATCCTTGTCACCCCCGTTACAGCCGACTCGCCTCCTTTCCAGTAAAACTCGATGTCATCTGTGGTGTAGCCATCTGCACAAGAAGAAACACACACACAGACACAGACACAGACACAGACACAGACACACACACACCAAGGTGTAACCATCTGTCTAACCATCGCAGGAGACCAAGATATGCAGTGTTGCTGATCATCCAACTGGGCTGTCATTTGGGAAGGGGGGGGGGACGGACGTGTTTGAAGTTGTTTCCAAGAACCAGACGTTGCTTTGAAAAGCAAGTCAGTTAATAGGTTCACTTGAGTTCACAAAAATGTCAAAAGAAAATCAAAAATATATTTCCTCTGTCCTTGGTAGCTCTTACTGGGTAGTATAGTTTGATAATAAAGAGAAAAAAAAAAAGTAATACATGCCATTATGAAAGTAATAACCAGGTAATAGCTTGGTTTTAAGAATGGGTATATCTGGATAATAAAAGACATCTATGTAATAGGGTGAAAAACAAAGGTTAATAGCAAGGAAACACAAGATAGCAACGAGCCAATACTCTTTGTAATATTAAAGTAATATTTTGGTAGCAATATGGTAACCTAACAATAAAACGGTCATATCAGTGCAATATTTGGATTAAAACATGGTTATATGGTGACAGAACCTGATAAAAATAAGGTAAATAATGTGTTTAATGCTGTACTGTGTTACCTGGAAATACTTCAAAAAACTACCTGTTTCTATTGAATTTCACGGTGAAGAGGCACAATGATTACCTGGACACACCTGTGGTAGTTTCTGTGTAATGACCATGAATCAGGGCTGAAGAATGCTAAACTATTTTTTTCATGGTAGTATTCTCTACTTGCACAATGTAGACAGATGTGTGACGTATATCCGTTTGAGGAGCTGCACGTCTCTTTACTTCTTATCAACTCTACAGTGACATTAGCCTTGTTGCTCTCTTTAAATGTGTTTCCCCATTATGACCCTTTGTTTTTGGCCCGTTATTATCCTACATAAATTTCAGCCTTATATTACCCCTATATACCCATTGTTAATCCCAGTCTATTGCTTTGGTAATTAATTGGTATAAATTAATTACTTCTTTATTATAAAACAATTTTTCCACAATTACCATGTTACTACTGATCTGTAATGTAAAGTGCTACTATTAAGATTTTTTTTACAAAGTAAAAATCGGATTTTGAATGTGCTCCATTCTTGGAGGAGGGAGATATGTCTGAAAAAAAAAAAAAAAAAAAAAAAAAAAAACAACCATGGGATGTTAATAGGCTAATTTCATTTGGACGTAAGACCACAATGTTATAATCATACTATAATTAATTAATTGGTTAATTAATTATACATAATTATACTACTGAGTTATGAAAAGTATAGCAGTGCTTTTGGACTTGATAATAAAGACCTGTGCTGCTCCAATTTTTTTAACATTTCTTCTAAAAACATGTGATATTAAATCTGTAGAATACGGTGATCTGAAGAATTAGTCGTAACTGTCATATAAAACAGGTAAATCCCATACTTCCAGTACATGAGATGGATTTAAAACAAATGCTACAGACCTCCAAAGAAAAAAAATGAACCAGGTTTTGAATGAATCAGATATTGATTCACTCAAACTGTAAAAATTCACATGAGACTGTGTTGGTTTTCTTCTCAGCCTGCATAGAGTGCTGACAGACGGTCCTGACGGCATTAAGCATTTCTACTCACAGCTCTCTATCTCCAGAGTGCAGTTCTGTTCGTCCAGGGGATACCTCCTGAGATCCATCATACACGCTGCTGTTGTAGTTATCCTGAAAAAAGAAGACACAGAGAGGGTGCATGAGATAATATTATAGATACTGTTTGTGATTTACACAAATTGTATTGAAAGGAATATAGTAATGAAGTAAGTAAGGGAGGAAGGGTGACTTCTTCCCTTACTTAATATATTTTCTGGCAAATTGGAATTATTATAAAAACAGCAATTCATGTTAAGGGACTGGGGGAATACAATTAGATTACTGCAATAAGGTGATAGCACTTGACTTTGTCCCATCATCTTTAAAAGGAAACTAAAAGTCCATTTGTCTTTACACCAAGTTCCTCATTTGGCTTCATATTACAGGAGACTATTGGCATTGTCATCCTAAAATAAGATTATGGCACCCTCTCCAAGGTAAAACGCTGACTATGTAACTGTATACATTATTATACTATTGATCAGACAGGCAAGCAGTCCTCATTCTTGTATTTAAAACCAGTACATGTCTCCTTCAACAAAACTGGCTGCCCTCCAACCAGTAATTAAGTGAAAATTTGTGCAAATAAAAATCATATTGAGGTAACACATTTTGGCAGACTTTAGTGCCTGCTCATCTGAACTGGGTCATGAGGAGGTATCCCTTTGTTTATCAGATGTATGAGCTCAAACGGGTGATGATCAGACAGTTAAAATAAGCACCAAAGTGAAATGCAAATCCAAAATGATTTAGGCTAAGTCTGCCCTGATTAAAAGCCGACTGCTTGGCAGTTAGCCACTGCATGTCTTCATTCAGTAAAGACTCAGATGAGGCTGTGGAAACCCATTAGGTGATATTATTATACAGCTAAATTTACAACAACATAACATTAGGTCTGCAAAATGTAGATGTATTGTCATAACTGACACATTTCTTGAAAATACACAAAAACATATGACAGAAATTCAGTCATTGGAAAAGGAAGATGGGGATTTTGTATAGAAGAGCAGCTGACCACGATCCACCCGGCACAATCAAATGGACCAGGCACATTGGAGGTTGCTGGAGGTGATCGGTCAGAGAGTCATGTTGACAAAGCAACGGAAATCAAGAGACTGTTGTGCCCACGTCTTTACAGAGACCTGCTTTTCAACATCCCGGATCTGCAGGTGGTTTGTGTTCTGAGCTGTCAGCGCAAGGCTCTGGCAAGATGAGAGGAGGCGGACTCTGTGTTTTACATCGATGATGCTCGGTGCTCATTCTCATTTCCAAAATACGAAAGCTTTATTGAGTTTTTTTTTTTTTTTCAGAAGTCAGTTTTTATAATTTCATTTGAAATTAGTGATCTTCATTAGATGTCATGATCATTTAGGTTTGATTTTTTGATACTTCTATTAATTTTTCATTACAGTGGTCCAAGCCTCTCTTGAGCTAGCAAGCGCGAAGCCAGTTAGCGCTTGTTAGCTACAGCAACAACAATGTTGAAACAACTGAAAATACAACAACAACTAGAGGCCATTACTGTAAATAAACACAGGATAAAGCTAATGTGACTAACCTCTCCATTTATTTAGCTTTACAAGGCTGCACATGCTCCCACCTTAACCAGCTAACTAGCTGGTCTCTGTGATATCACCCGTAGGTTTCTGAAGTAGTTTTAATTGTGAAGTAAATGTGGGTGGCTCTGGCTGTCGCCATCTTGGCAGTCCCTGGCCTGACTGCGCCTGTCGCACAACGAGACACACCCTTAATTATGCATAACTTTAGGCTCATATAAATAGGTGGTTTATATAAAAAGTTATCCCCGTACAGTTTTCATGAATGGGGAAATTAGCTAAACCATTTTTTGTACCAGGCTTTTTTTCAGCTGTAAAGTTGGGCATTTTAACATGGGGGTCTATAGAGACTGACTCACTTTTGGAGCCAGCCTCAACTGGCCATTCACTTTTTGGCACTTCTGCGTAGGCTTCATTTTTCAGCCCTGGAGGTTGCCACAAAGACAAACAACTCCATGGTCGCTCTAGCCAACAAGACCTAGCTGGCAGTTAGCCACCTAGCTAGGTGCACATCTTTCTTCTAAAATATGATGTGAAAGAAAAGTGTCATTGCAAAAAATTTTATTAAAAATTACTTTGGAGCATTTTGGTATATACATTTTGGTAGTGAAATACAAACTAATGTACTGTATATGAAAATCTTGGCTCTGGGAACTTATAATAGGCATGTTTCTCTATTTTCTGCCACTTTAAAGAATAAATGATGAATCGACTGAGAAAATAATCATTAGTTGCAGCCTTAGCTCACATTAAATATAGAAAGTGCATTCTTTAACACCTTGATAGGAATCTGTAATATTCAGCATGTTACTCAACCTTACCTGACATACATTTATCTAACAGCTCATATCACAAACACCACATCACATATCTCCCTCTCCCTTTGATCTCTTGAAAGCATTGAGAGGTCTATAAGTAGCCCACAAGGCAAAGTGCTATGAACTCCACTTGCATAATCAAGCATGTATGACTGTAAAGTATGAACACTGACAGATACAAACCCAAGCAGGCAAGTGCTCGTGCAAGTGCGCACACACTTTTCGCTTTGCATGCTAATAATTCAAAGCATGAATCCATATTCATAGGTCACGCTAACTCTTCTGAACCTGCCCATCGAAAGGATCAATGGAAATTCAAAACAAGGGCTTTATGAAACATATATCAAACAACAGCTGCAAGCTTAACATTGCATTAATGCACCTTCTAACCTGTTCATACTTCTTTTCATGAGTCATCTCCAACTGCACCCCTCCCTCCCCTTAAAAATCAAATGCAGGGGTGCCCTTGAGCACGACCCATAATCCTCTGGCTGCTCAGCGACCGGCAGCGGAAAACTGCCAAGTTCTCAGCTTGGGCAACTATGGTGCCGTAATAGGGCTTTAAACACAGATAATTAACTTGACACGGGGAAACATCTGAGAACATTTTTGACTCTGAGATTCATTTTGTTGCCTGTTGTGGGGAGAGTTGCTCATTCTCAAGGCCCAGAAAGTGCACTTTACCACTCTAACAACATAAATAAACTCACGTTCTACACTATACTGGGAAACACAGTATATAATTACAGGTAGAATCAAGGATGTGGATTTGGAAAAGACCAAAACTAACAATGTTAGTCCGTCTCACAAGACTTTCAGACTTCACAAATTTATAAGCGGTTGCAAATACATAGTTTCAGTTTTGAAAAAGGCTCAGTTATTTACAGTTGGGCACTGCAGTTTCAGCAAACGTTACTCAAAAAGGACGATGTAGTGCAGTTCTTCAGACAGTATTTCATGGCAATAGAACGCTACATGTGGAATTCAAAATATAATGCAGTGGCCAGTTAATGGTAATTGAGTAATATATCCCCCAGTGCAATGGTTTGACTCATTGATGTATTTTTAATAATTTTGGGCGACAATGGAGCTCTATGACACAGAGGAATAAAATATAGAAGTAAGACTTTTCTTTTACTTTAAGACAATACTCAGTGGCAGGATCAATTCATTGTTGGTTTAGAATTTGTTGACAATTAAAATAAATTAGAGATATTTTCCAAATCTAAATTTAAGCAAATAGGGGGAGGCCTGGGTGGAACATGACCAAAACATACGACAGAAGAAGTGACATAAGCTATGAAAACTTAACAACAGATTTTTTCTCTCAGAGCCAAAGAAGAATTCAGCATTTACACTTGGTCATTGCCGTTTGGCTAAAGAACAATAAACTCACCCGATATGGTAGCAAAAATTTATCAAGGAAGGCTAACCATTCAGCACGCTATTCCTACCCAGAAGCACAACTAAACAAACATATGGAAAAATGACAATTTGTTTGAAGTGCGAAGCAGAACCCACCTGAGGCCATACAGAACGGTTCCGTCTGGATGCAGGCGGATCATACGGTTTTTGACTGTGACTCCGTGGACGAAAGACTTCTTGTCGTTGAGGAAGTAGGTGTCAGGGACCCACAGCTGGTCGGCAACCCTGTTATCCAAGGTCAAGTTGAGAGGAATTCCTATGTAGGCTAGACGCTTGTCCCTCCAGTACTGTTGGAAATACATGGTCAGCGTATAGTCCTATGGATACAAACAGAGGGACAAAAAGATAATAAGAAGTGCTCCTGTATTGAACAAACTGCTGCAGACTTCACAAGCAAACATTAACGTCTCTGACATATTTGCTCTGCCCACTCCCCACTGTTAGTGCTCCTAATATTTATATGACATGACACTACACAGCATCTTACTAGCTGGAAGGAGTGCAGGAAAACTGTTTCATGTTGGGCCATACAGTATGTGCCTTTGTACAACAAGCGTGTGGGCAGGCTGACTCACGTAGTTGCAGCTATAGTGGAATATTTCATAGAAATGTTCTAATATATCAACAGTAGTGTATTCCCAGTGTAGGCAAGGTAAGTGATTCACAAAGCCTCAGAGTTGAACTACAACGGCACCCAAAAGCTTTTTAAAAAAGTTGGTAATAACAGCCGGAATGATGTCTGTGTGAAAAGCCAGAGCCGGCATGCTGGAACAGATGTGACGTTTTGATGACATGTATGTATCCAGGCATACAAATGAAAAAAAAGTATGACATTGTATGTGTGACCCGCCACCGGGATATTGCAAAATCTCTGAAGACAACTCTGCAATGCTGTTTATGATGCGCAGCAACTTCACTTGGGTTTAAAGACTGGTTTAAGTGTGTATGGCTAGCAAAAACAACTCAATGCTATGCTCTAGGGCTGTCCCGAACTAAGAATTTACATAGTCGAACCAGGATCGTCAAGTCCTACCTATAGTCGACTGATAGAATCATGTGTTTTTTTGTGCACGGCGATTGAAAGCCGAAGCTAAACTGAGGCTTATTGTTGACCATTTTCTCTCTCTCTCTCTCTCTTGCCCCTGCCATTCACTGGCAGAGTTTCTTTCGTGCTGCACAACTGCATGCATGTCTATTTCAAGTAGTGGCTGTTTAAAAATTATATATTATTCTTTGTGTGGTTCATCAACGGTGATAAATTATTCAAAAGTCCCGCAAGGTGTGGACAACTCTGCTCAACACTGGTAAAGCTGTGGCTCCATCTCTTCAGCAAGTCTTCCTCCTGCCACTACACACATTCACGCTACCCCTACACATGCCCACTGACGACCCAGGGTTAGGGTTACAATTTTGGATTTATTTATGCAATTTAAAAACATTTATTGGAAGTTTTTTTTATTTCTTTTTATATGTTTATTTACAGCATTAAACGTTGAAATGTATATTGTAATAGGCTGTATATTAACATTTGGGGATAAAACTGGTAGTTCTATGTAAAATCAGAGTTGAGCTTCCCCATATTGCCAAAATGGCATGATCCTTGCGTCCGACAGCTGTATGCACGTGGCGGTTCCTTACGGGTCTATTTCAAGTACTATTTAAAAATGGTGTAATATTCTTTGTGTGATTCATCAATGGAGATAAATGATCCGAACATCCCGCGAGGTGCGGACAACTCGGCACAACAACGGTGAAGTTAAGGCTCCGTCTCTACCGAAAGTTCCTCGTCTGCCACCACACACTCACACACATACACGCTACGCCTACACATGCGCACTGATGCCCCCTACTTTGAGGGTTAGGCTTACAATTCTGGATTTATTCACACAAAAACATTTATTAAAAGCTTTTTTCCCCCTTTTCTCATTTTTTATTTACAGCATTACATATTTAAATGTATATTGTAATAGGCAGTATATGAACTTATTGGGAGAAAACTGGTAGTTCTATGTGAAATCAGATGTTGAGCACCCCCATATCGCCAAAATAACATGATCCTCGTTTCGCAGCGAAGCACTGTGAGATTGACAGTCAAATCAGGCTCCGCCCATCGAATCACTGAATCTTTTCGTGGTCAGCCCTACTATGTTCACTTGCCATTGTTGTTTTGAAAGCAAGGCCTACTTCCAACGCACATGTTCTACGTCATACAAGACGCCACCACTGTTGCATTACACGTAACCGTGATTCGGGAAAGCCGGATCGCTATGTGAAGACGGATGCAGGATTATGTCACAAGTTTTTGTTCAGTATGAATGAACGAATGCGGCATATTGGCGGATATTCTTTCTGTGTTTATTGTGGGATCTCTGTATAAAAGAGGCTAAAGGCTGTACTGCTAACCACTGATGAACCTTTGTGTATATTTTCAATGTTTCTTTGATTTACTTTTTATGGCAGTTTCTGATTTGCTAAGGAAACCTCATGTTCCAGGTTGTGAGTTCTGGCCTGTTGGTCGTGAAAAAAAAATGACATTCCCGTCAACCTCAGCAGTACTTTGTGTTCTAATTAGCAAATGGGCTAAAATAAGGTGAAACTGGTAAATATTACTTGCTAAGCATCAGTATGTTAGCATTGTGACTGTCAGCATGTTAGCGTGGCACTGCTGCGCCTCACAGAACAGAAGTACAGCCTCTCAGAACCTCTAGCATGGTGTTAAATGTTACCATTTAGTCTATAAAATCAAGAAGAAAAGAAAACTGTCAAAAAATAAAGATTGGCAAGATTATTTTGTCTAAACAACAGTCTGAAATCTCTAAGATAATTAGTTGATAATGATAGGCACCAGCTATTACATTCTACAAATGTTCTTCATGACTGAGTTAATTACGGTTTTCTTTTAAAATCACTGAAGTGTTTGCAAACATTTAAGTGTTCAAGTGAGATTCTGATATTCTTTGTATCTGGCTGTGTAACAAACCCTTGCCATCTGGCAAATATGCATTGGCAAGAAGTTCTTCAAGTCCAGCCATGAGGACACCATTAGTCCTGTGAAATCAAACATTTTTAAGACGGTTGTGTAAGTTTAAAAAAAAAAGAAAAAAGGACGGTAAGCAAATACATGTTTGTGTTTTGCCTTGATTCAAGAAGTATTTGACCAGACCAGCAGCGGAGATAGAGGACAGAGCCCCTCCCTCCCCCCTTCCACGTCACATAATCCACTTACCCAAGCTAACAGTCTCTCTTCTCTATTTCTGTTTTTATCTCCGTCTGTCTGTACCTCTCTCCCCCCTCTCTCTTCCTCTCTCTCTCTCTCTTTCTCTCGGGGCAATGCCATGTTCTCCCCTCTGCCCGCTGTGGCACTGAAATGAAACCAGCCCGCACCAAGCTGGCAATGGCAGAGCACACATGTCTGTTGGTGCTGCAGCTATTCGGGCTCGCACCAAAACACAAACAAAAATGCAGATTAAAACGGCCACTGCAATGAGCATGGCTTCCCAAAAATGTTACATAACTAAAGTAATTATTTGTCTTTTTGCACGCCCCTCAGCGCTGTGTTACCAATGCTTAGAAAACACTCTCGGTTTTGCATTTTCATACAATAATGACGACAGAATTAAATAAAAGTATGCAATTTCAGGCAATTGGCTGCATCTTAATTACTCATTCCTTTATATTTATTAATACGATTAATGAAAATGTTTTCCAGGTTTGGTGAGCACGCAGAGATCTGAACAGGGAAGATCTTAGTCAGCACAGGATCCAGATTGGTCACACAGCATGAGAAGGAAAGTGCATTGGCACTGAGCCATAAATGTACTGTATAGTGGTGGAATCGAACGATGGCATGTTTGGTATCCGCAGCCCCGTGTGTCACTTATGATGGAGCCATTCTTCCCACAGAATGGCTCCATCGTAGCACCAATCATGTATCAACCATGTGGGAAGAAATAAACATATTTTTAAAATCTGGTATTAAGATAGCAATTACCTTTCATGGTTCTACTAAAATTTGTCAGCACAAATCATCTTTCCACGCTCCTTTAACCTGTACTAAACCACATTATTCAGGGATTTTGTTAGGAGTTAATAGTTGGTCTGAAAGGTATGTAGAACCAACATCTTTTATAGTTGATTGACTCATTTATCAAGCATAAATACCAAACATTCTCCATTTCCCGCTTCTCAAATGTGATGATTTGCTGCTTTTCTCTGTTTTATATAATTGTAAATTGAATCTCTTTGGATTTTGGACTGTTGCCTGGACAAAACAAGCAATCTTAAGATGTCACCATGCCATGGCCATTTTTCACTGCGCTGCTGTTGCTGAACTAAAGGTTTAATCAATAGATTCATCAATAATGGAAATGATTGTTAGATAGATACAGCCCTGGAGGTATGTGTGGCAGAAAACGTCTTTCCTTAAAATAACAGGTGCCACCGGTCATTTGACCCATTAATGATGAAGTACACACACGTCAGAATAATCAGTAGACCATGTTGTGATGTTCCATGTTAACACATCAGTTTACACTATTACCTTAAAAGCAGTTCATGATCTCTGTTGGTTTATGGTAAAACTATTAACTGCACATTTGTTTGGAAACGACACCAAAAGCTCATACCAACTGAAACTATAGGAGACTTAAAGGGGCACACCATATATTTTGCAATTGAGTTGCATTATGGGAATTGTAGCGTTTGAACGAGCTGTAGCAAGCTTGAACCATACTCTGAAATAAAAGTCAGGAAAATATGCTTTAATTTTGACTTTCTTCCTTTCTTTAACCTGGCTTCAGTGAGTCCCTCAGCCTAATTTAACTCAGCCTGTGAAAACAGCTGTGTAATGATTAATAAAATTCTGGTGGTGTAGGCAAAATATAATTGTGCTGCTGGTGTAGTATGTTGTGTAATAATAATAATAACTGTATTTAATAGGTTATTGAAAGTGATAAACTGCACATGGAGTACGCAGTTAACTGTTCTTCTGTTCCTTTAAGTGATAAGAAAAGAAATCTGCTCCTGGGATGTCATAAAGGGGAATAAGTGTTATCAGTCATAGTCCCATTAAAGTGGTCAATGTGGATTGATCACAGCATGCTGTGAAAACGTAATTTGCTCTAAGAATACGCACTGTAGACTTGGATTCCCCCTCTCCTCCATTACCACTGTAACTTTACCCTTCATCAATCCTGACAAATTACTAATGTGTCTCCTACACTGGCTTGTTTTGACCCTTATCACATCACTTCTCTCCCTCCTACCGCCAGCCTCTGCCCACGCGTTAGGTATGGATTTCCATCTTCCGCCAGAGTAT